GATAAAACATGCACATAATGCTAGCTTACCTCTATCCATTCAGCACGAAAGCTGACGCACGATAGTTGAACGAGAACACATGTGACGTTGACAGACAGCTATGGCCGAAGTTGGAAGCGAAAAAATCTAAACATCTTAACCTTCTGAACCGGTTCTCCATTAGCTTTGTGCGGGAATAATAACTGGGCACTATTTAATGGGACTTCCCGGGATTAGGATGGGTGTTTACTCTAACGATTTCTGCCCCGGCTGTAGGGACGAAGAAGAGGAGGAGAAAACCGAGCACTACCTCTGCCACTGTCCAGCCTTGACATCCGAGCGACACAAGTTTATGGGAAACACTTCTTCGACTGTCTCGCTGAGTTGGCCTCAGTGAGCATTGGAAATCTCCTTGAGAAATTGACCACAATTGCGTATTCGAGGTCACATGGAGTGCATTGGAAATCTCCTTGAGAAATTGACCACAATTGCGTATTCGAGGTCACATGGAGTGCATTATGCTCGCTTGCTATGTCTACGATATGTAACAATGCTATCAGAACAGTGAAAAGCGCGGAAGACCACATGCAACTAAGTTTCCGCTTGAGTAGCAATGTGAAAAACAAGATAGTAGCATGCCACCAGCTTTTACTGTTCTTGCGACCATAAAAAAGAGAACAGAAGAACAGATGTCCTGAGAAGAAGAAAGCATTTTATAGCACTCTTGAGAACCGGCCGGTCTATTCTGTTTGAAGGATCAGGTAGAGAGTGACCTGGTTTCACTTGGCATTTCCAAACAAAGAAAAGAAGGAACGAATCGCGCGCTGTTGTTCATTCCGCTATATTCGCATAAGCGGTGCCCACGTCAATGAAGAAGAAATATTGATCGTAAACCATTTTCAAAATTGTTAATCGATTCGAAAAATTTATGAAACCTTAGTGTCTCCACTGTACTGCCCATATTTGAGCGATATTTACATGAAAATCGAGTGGAAAATAAAGGCAGAAGCGCACCAAACAAAATTTTTAGTGCTTTCGACGAACGCTCTAATCGAACTATCGGCTCCAAAAACGATTGTAGATGTTCAGCAAGAATTAGGAAAAACATAAACGTTGAAATTTTTTGCCGCGTACTCCGCGAATGTGATTTTAATAACCAAGTTACTCGTAAGAAAAGTAAAAAAAAAAACAAATATGTCGATTAAAGTTCGCTCAGGAACATGTTTGTAAGACCCATGATTTTTGCAGCAAGATTATATTTGAAGACGATTCAAAATTCATTATTTTTGGGTCCGACGGCATGTCTTACGTTCGGCGAAAAAAGAATAGAGAGCTAAATAAGGAGAATCTGAGAGCTACAGTGAAACATGGCGATAGAAGTGTGATGATTTGGGTTGTATGTCCGCAGTTAATATAGGAAATTTGGAGTTTATTGAAGGGAAATGGACAAAAATATGTACCTTAATATCATTAGAAATAATTTGCAGCAAAATGCCGGGAATCTTGGTATAAAAGAAAATTTCCGTTTTTATGAAGATAACGACCTAAAAAACAAAGCAGTAGTCGTAGTAGAAACCATACATAAGTTGGCCCAATCAATGCCAACCAGGATCCAGGCTCTTATTAAGGCAAATGGCTTTCAGCCAAAATACAATAGTATTGAAAGTGAGTTTTTTTTTTAGAGTGAATTGAACTGTATCAAATGTAAGCACTGTATGTAAAAAGTTAGTCATCTTTTTTCCTCTGCATCGCATTGCCAAAATACTTCTATCCAAACTGTGCTTTGAATAGCAGTAATTTTTTCTTAATAATCTTTTTTGAGCAACTTTCTTACTCTATTAATTTTCACACCATTAGCAAACCCGAAAACGCATAGATATAAAATGGAAATAAAATTTTTCAGACTAATTTCCAGAAATTGAAATTAAATTTCCAACTTTTTAATGTTGAAATTCCTTTATATTATATAAGCAGCTTCGGCGTATGACGCGTTAACCATTCATGGGCTTCCCAAATTGGTACTGAAACCTGTGTCGGCACCCCAAAATAAACACATCCTTACGTTTATAATTCCTTTTACCGCAATTCATTATCGTTACTTTTTCGCATAGATCATTCTATACTTTTACTACATACTTTAGCAAAGTTTCAGTTCGCGAAATATAAGTGTAGGAAATTTTCCTAAAAAGTTTTTTTTAACTATTCTGAAAACTGACGATGACCACTTTCATCGCACATTTTTTCTCTTTCACACTTTCCACCGTCACTAATTATTATGAAAATTCAATTTTTTTTTTATTTTATATGAAGTACCATCGATACAATTAAGTTCTGAATATAACATCCCTCAAATGGCCTTCACGACCTTGTATGCAGGAAGGAGTTCCCACTTTTTGAGCACTTTTTCCACTAAATCAAGTCGTATGCCACGAATAACACGTTCAGTATTAACTTCTAAAGCTTGAATAGAGTCTGTTTTATTCCTTAAGACTTATGACTCCAAATGACCCAAGAAAAACTAGTCTAATGGCGTTAAATCACAACTCCTTGAAGGCCACTCAATGTCACATTTTCTTGAAGTAATCGAATCTCCAAACCTTTCTCGCAATAATTCGGTTGTTGCACGTACTCCGTGGCAGGTAGCGCCGGCTTTTTTGAATGGTATGATGTTGTTAAGATCCACTTCTTTCAACTGTGGTTTAAAGTTGGTTATCATCGATCTATACTGCTCTCCATTGACACTGCTTTACTTCTAAAGCTTTACTTCTAAAGACCAAAAAACCACACCAAACTTAGATGAATGTATAGTTGTTCATGAGTAATTTGAGGATTTTCATCGCACCAAAATCTACACTTTTGTTTATTCACCGTCCCACTTAGATGAACGCGAGCCTATTCGGAGAAGATGATTTTCTTCGACAAACAAAAATTATTTCTAAACGCTTTAATTCAGTACAAAAAGCTGGAAAACACCAACTTTAAATAGGGTTGTTTCAGCGATTTAATGAATTAGAGTTCAAAATAATCCACACAAATCACATTTTCATCGATTTTCAAACTGCTTTCGTTAGCACAGTAAGGAGCGGCTTTCCAGACGCTGTGACTGAATTTGGTATCTCTGTAAAACTCATGCAGCTGCGTAAGCTGACGCTGTACAACACAGGAAGTGCAATCAGAATAGGAATGGACTTCGCCGGGTCGTTCAAAACCAGGGTGACTCTTTATCGTATTATATCTTAAATTTGATGCTGGAGAAAATAATGAGAGCTGCAGAGTGGAAAACTACAGGCACCGCACCGTTAATTTTGTTTTCTCCAGACTTGATGAAGAAGCGAATCGAATGTGTGTGGTAGTGAACCGAGGACAAAACGAAATATCTCCTTTCATCAAACAAATAGTCTTCGCATTCGCGACTCGGCAACCGCGTCACTGTTGACAGTCAAAACTTCGAGGTCGTAGATAATTTCATCTAAATGCACTTTTCACATCAATGACTTTATATCACTGAAAAAATATTCATTTGATTTATTTTAAAATTGGTTTTCTAGGGCCGCTTTCATCATCATCTCATGCGGTCAATACAAGAAACTGAATGGGTGCGTTGTCATGAAAAAACAACACTCCGCGCTAACTTACCATGTCTCTTCTGTCTCACGCGTCTAAGTCAACAAATTACCGTATTTCCGACCGAACATTGTCGTTCCCTCTGACAAGTAATCAATGAATAATGCACCCTCGCTATCCCAGAAAATGGTAGCCATAATTTTCGACGCCGACTTTTCCATTTTGAATATTTGGTGGTCTTCCAAGCCTCATTCGAGCATGATCTACGACGTGGAGCAAAATCGAGGTTTTTGCGACTGCGAATCGTAGACAATGAAACGAAAAAGAAGTCCATTTAAAAAAATTTTGCGGAATCTTGTCCTCTTCAATCGTGCCAAAACCACAATCAGAAGCTCACGAAGGGCAGCCTAGACCAATTGAAAAAGAAATTGCATATCCACTTTCCAAAATCTATTACTAAACAAAATTGTGCAAGTTATTACCCTGACAGACATTATACATATATACATATAATTGGCGCTTTGCAACCGCTGAAGCGATTTTCTCGGCCGTGCTCCTCCTGCAATTTGTGGTTTTTGCCTCTTGTTTTCAAACAAGTGGAGGGACATTCCCTGCCGAGGGGCTACCGCAATTCGAAAATTTAACCTAGTTTTTTATTTAAATTAATTTTCAATAACTTTTGTATGTTGGTGGCACCAGGATTTGAACCCGAGCCTTTCGAATGTCAGTACGCAATGCTAACCACTCGACTACCGCGGCCGCCAGACATTACGGGAGCGAAAATGTCATGCCCACACTTCATACCCAAAGCTTCGAACAATTGTGATCTTACATGGCTTACTGTATTGTGTATATATGTATACACATACAAACTTCTCAAATCCATAAAAATATATCACAGTCACATTGTTGCACAATGAATGCCTACTACGTACACAGAAATCAAGATAAAGTCCTAACGGTAATTGTCAAATAACATTTCGTGCGTGCACCTCAGGCCTAGAACAACGATTTGCTTTTATCCGCATTGCCGTTTAATGACTTCACTCAACCTTACTTCACTTCAACTACAATCACCAGACAACTGCAATGTAAATGGAATTTGGAATTCTCACCCTTCGCCCTCCACATCATATCACTCTAAAGCTGAATGTGTCGTAACGTTTGCCATTGCATAGGCAATTAGTAACGACCTGTGATATGGTCAGTTGTGATTTGTAAGTGCAACAGGACTGTAGCGTTGGTGCTACCTTAGAGTCTTACACCTAACTCAACATCATCAGTTCAACTTAACCAAACGTACGAACATCAATCGTTGATGTGAATTTAAACGGAAATTTTGGCAATTATTCTTTACCTATTCGTACCGTGTCCCTTTACTTTGAGAAATCTCAGAGCTACTACGCAACTCGTACACCTAAGTGAATTAGGCGAGTGTGGAGTTTGCTCAAACGAAAATGGCGCAAAGGAAAAATGTAAAAGAATTGGCAAGAAAGTTTGTCGAAACGTTGGCAATATTTCGTCGGAGTTTAATTTTTCAAACCAAAGAGTTTTTTCAAAACTCTACCTTACATGGTGTGCGTTATATTGCTGAAACGGGTCGACCGGTGGGTGAAAAGTAGGTGAAAGACAATGTGAAATGTACTACTCGAGTGATTAATTTCGATTTGGTGTACTAAAAGGAGGGCATAAATCGTTTTTGCTTTCAGATTTATGTGGTTTTGCTTTACAACAATTGGTGCTGTGACTGCCTTGGTGATTATTATGAGTTTGTGGGAGAAATTTCAAACTAATCCAACAATCACTGGTGAGTGTATGACTTGTTCCAATTGTTACTTTCGAGTAAAAAATAAATGTGATTGATTGGGATACCGAAAGAAATGATACTTATACAGAAAAATTTAGCTTATAAAAAAGCCTTCCTAACGACATTAAGACATCGCATAAACTTTTTTAGAGCTATTCACAGACGTTCATTTCAATGTAAAGAGGTTGATATGCCAGTAACAATGGAAAACTATATCAGCAAAATGGCCCCCACGGTTTCGCTTACAGGACCGTATCCTTTTTATGAAGTCTTCCCTCACCAAATCGCAAAGTGGCTAACGTATGCCCTCAGTAACTTCACATTGGCCCTGGTAGCGTAGACTTTGCTTTTTTGGAAGAAATCGCAAGCTATTAAATTCCAAGGTCTTGGTGGTCAATTGCTTTCTCTTAAATGATCGTTGGTTTTATTGATGGTGTGGCACGCAGCGCCATCTTGTTGAAAGTAAAGATTGTTCAGAGCAATACCAATTGACTCCCGCCATAAAACGTAATTAATCATCTATGCATAACGCAATCCAACAGTTACACTTTGAGAATGGAGAAGCTTTTTAACAATAAATATTGAGTTTTCCGAGCCCAAGATGCGACAGTTTTGCATATTGGCGTAGCCATCGAGGTGGAAATGGTCCTCATCATTCAAGATAGTTTTTCGATGAAATTTTATAGTGAATTTTGAACATTTCAATGCCTTGGTGAAGCGTATATTCTACCATTTGTATTACTGGTGTAGTTTTCACTTGTCATGCCGAAAAAATTACCCGCGAAACACTTCAATCTAATCTCGCGTTAACTTTGGGACACCCTTATAATAGGAGAGTTTAGTATTTAGCGCAAGAGAGTCCTTTACATTCAAATAGCATAGTAATGCCCAAGTAGCTCTGGTGCTACTTCGACTTTAACGTTAACATTGGGTGCGTTCAGCGGACTAGGCGCTCAGTAAGCATGTTCAGTGAGCGGACGCTTAACGCACGTATTAGTGCTATGTATGTAGATGACTAATTTACGGAACATCTTAGGATGAATAAACCAACATTTCAAGTAAGACATAATTCTGCCTAAAATACTTGTAAATATGTATATAACCTTTATGATAATTACTTTAAAATAATAATGCATATCAATTTTTTCAATGGCGAAAACTTAGCTTCGCAATCAGTTGATCGTTTCGACATTTGAAGTAGCAGTACGTTCATGAAAATAAATCGCTCAGTAAAAGCGCTTACTGAGCAGGTTTACTGAGCGCTCAGTCCGCTGAACGTACCCATTTAATGATGGTTCGAAATAAGCTTAGATATTAAGACGGTCAATGGTAATGTTGCTGTTGTTTAGACTAGTCAGTAGTAAGTTCTCCCTCCAACATTAGTATGGATAGATATGGAGTTTTTTCGTAACCTCTAGCTTCTGGCTAAGGGAAGGTTATTCCCAAATCGTTGAAGTTCTCTTCTCGCTGAAGAGCTAACAGCAACTATCGTAATGGAATATTTTATTTATTCAGCTCTTAAACTGAAAGAGCGTCCATACAATTTAAAACTGACACATAACATCCGCTTTAATCGAGCTCCAATTTAAGCCATTTTTTAAATGATTTAAATTTCTCTCTCAGGCTTGGACACAGATTTTCATAATCAAAATGTTGTTTTCCCCAGTACCATCGTCTGTCCAGAAATACCTTTCGATCATGACAAGGCGTACGATTGGGCATACAAAACATTATCGTAAGTAGATGGAACTTAAATTGAAATGTAATTTAGAACAGAGTTTTAAGGAAATAATTTCATTATTAGAAATTATGATCATCCCACAGCGACGATGATAGCACCATTTCTGGAACTTTTAACATCTCTCAACTTCGATAATGTGAATGAAGCTTATGCGCTGTCTACATCAGTGCCTGCAAATGTTTTAAAAGAGATAAATTTAAGAGAAGCAGCCTTTAAAGCAAGTGCATAAAAAAGCAAAATAAATTTATTTACATACATACATTCAAAATTGTATTTCTCTACACGTATGTACAGGTTCAGGTCAGCTGTGAAGATACTTTGAGCGAATGCAAATACCGTGATGAGCCCATAACCTGTTGTACGCACTTCGATACAGTTTATACCGAGCATGGCATGTGTTTCGCTTTCAATAGCCGTTTCAAATCGGAGGAAAAAGAAGAGTATGTACGAATTTTGAAAAAAGAAAAATATTTATTAGCAATATAAGCATTTATTTTTTCATAATTTCTTCGATCTAATTTACACAGTGTCAACGGAGCAGCACCACATGATCTTTATGAGACTGATAAAAAGTGGGCTTTATACTTCATACCGAATGGAACAGCAAAAGTAAGTAATACATACGAGGTGTGTTCAAAAAGTATCGCGAATTTTGAATTTTCGCGGGTTACGTATTATCGAATTTCAATTTTTTTGTGGCGTTATGTTGGTACTCATGTCTGTCACTTATGCCGACAGGCTCGACCATTTGGAATGTTCACTTATTTGTTGACAGCTGCTTTGCTTGCACGTGTTTTGCATGGTCTTCGATTTTTAATTTTTAATGAAAGTTGTGCTGACAGTTTTCTTCGATTGCAGGGGCGTGGTGCATCATGAGTTCTTGCCACAGGGTAGAACGGTCAATAAAGAATACTACCTGCAAGTTATGCGCAATTTACGCGAAGCAATCCGCCAGAAACGCCCGGATTTGAGGAAGAACAAAAATTGGCTTTTGCACCACGATAACGCCCCTGCTCACACAGCGTTGCTTGTGCGCGACTTTTTGCCAAAAACAAAACACTAATGATGCCGCAGCCACCGTATTCCCCAGATCTGGCCCCCTGTGACTTTTTCTTGTTCCCTAAACTGAAGAGTCCAATGAAAGGACGACGGTACGATACGATTGACGAGATAAAGACGGCATCGAAGGGGGATCTGAACAAGATAAAAAAAAAGATTTTTTGAAGTGCTTCGAAAATTGGAAAAACCGTTGGCACAAGTGTATAATATCTCATGGAACTACTTTGAAGGGAACAAAATAAATATTCATGAATAAATAAATAATTTTTGAAAAAACACAAAATTCGCGATATTTTTTGAACACACCTCCTAGATAATAATTCTGGTAGTTTTACTCTTTTTCTGAGTAAATTTCGTTTCTATCAATTCCACTAAAACGGCAAAGAAATCCCATTAAGTCGAAGCAATACCCTGGTTAGGTTATGAAACATTTAATTAGGTCTCAATGCCAGGTTTCGATTACTGAGCCTCATTCCTTATTGCCTCGTAAGTGCAAATTATGGCCTAATGACCGAGATACTCTTAAAAAATTGCCCTTAACTATTTATGTATATATTGAAAGACGGAGATCTGTACTGATCTGAAACTTATAGAGTATGTTCTGCGAATAACGTAGGAATCCGCAAAAAAAGATTCTCCTCTGATGTGTGCCTGGAACCGATCTATTGAAAAACATCGAAATTATTTTCGAATCCTTAGATTTTCATGAAATTTGGTTCACAGGGAGCTTGGCTAAATTGACATGGGAAACACAATTTCTTCTGGTAAGTGGACTTGGGATCGAACTATTCGAAAATTTTTTATATTTATTTGCATTACATAAAATTTTGTAGAGCCTTGAGCCTAAAATAAATGGTGAATACTTTTTCTTCCAGGTCTAGGCCTGGAATACATTAGGCGATTTGGTTTTGCTTAATGTATGTTACCTCTTTGCCTACAGTTGCGGTCAAAATCTTAGTAGTGATTTTGCTAATTAAATATCAGTCATCGTAAATTTTTATTTCAGACTTTTTCTGTAAATACCGTTAGATTAAGTCGCCGACATGACGAAATGCATTGGTTTGTTAAGCTAGAAATATTGTTGTTATTGCAATCGGCTAAGTTTTGAGGAAAAATGTGTTTTTGACTATTTCTATTTCTGTTATCAGTATTCTGTTTTATAATGAAAATTTTGATCATGATGCATGCAGTGATGTCAAGAAAAAAGTATTGTACACCGGAGATACAGGCTATTATTAACAAGCTGATTGGCGAAGGGAAAACCAACAGAGAAGTGCAAAACATCATTGGTATCTCCCCCCCCGATGGTCCGAAACGCTATAAAATACAAACCGGGTGTCGAAAAACGCTGTCGGAAACGTGTAATTCCCACCCAATTGGTTAAGTTGCGGCTATCACCGAAATTAAAAATTCTCTAAATGTGAAAGCCAGCATTGAAACTCTTCGCCGACGCTTATGAGAATACGATCTGTCAGCTCGGAGCCCCAGAAAAGTACCTTTGCTGGTTGTTTAGCCAAACGATTACGTTTCGCCAAAGACTATTTCACTAGGCCTTTGGCCAAATGGCGTAAAATTTTATGGTCTGGCGGGTCGAAAATTGTTCGCTATGGTAAAGCAGTTTGTAAGACGTCCACGCAACAGCGCACTTAATCCAAAATATACTACTAAACGGTTTGGGCATGCTTTTCGTGGTATGGAGTTGGGCAAATTCATTGGTTCGAGGAGTCCATGAATGCTGCCCAATACGCCCAAGTTATGCAGGCGATCATGCTCCCGAGGAAATGCCACTGATGTGGACCTTTCAACAGTACAACGATCTGAGGCATACTAGCAAGCTTGCCAAGAAGGGTTTGGAGACAACCGAGTAAATGTTATGGAATGGCCTCCACAGTCTCCACTCTCTCCGCTGGGTATAATTATTAGGCTTCAGTTGTTGTGCTCTTTAGGGAGTATACGCTGTAGAGAGCTTCTTGAAATTTGCAATTCTTATTCACGAGTCGAAGGCCCCTGGATTGTCACCGACACTCGGAGGCACTGCTTCGATGTTGTCATTTGAACGCGTTTTTTTAGGATGATCCTGTCTCCCGGAATTTTCAAATTAATCTCTTCACAGCTGACAAAGTTAAGACATTGTTCCGACCATATTCGAACTGCTGCCGCCAAGCTTTCATTATTTTTGAAATATTATTCAATAATGAAGACAAGTTGTTCCATAACGCTCCTTTTTCACTAAACCTAAACTGTCAGCTGTCGATTTTTTTTTTTTTTTTTGAGTATTTTTTGTGTATTGTTATAGTTTCTTATGCCATTACAAAGTCAATTCAAGCCCCAAATACGAATGATATAACAATTTCTATATTTCTGTATTGGCCTCATTTTCCTACTGAATTTTGCTTTACATTTGACACTTAGGGGAACTATGGACTATCTGTTCGAGTCGAATCGAACTACAAACGGAGAAACTTGAAAACCAACCAAATTTTATCAAGAGTTTTTCAAAATCTTTTTACCAATTTCTCCAAAATTTTCGTGCTTTCTTTTAAGGTTTTTATATTTTCGAATGAAGAATATTTTGGACGTGATTTCAATGCACAAATCGAATGGGAAGATAATCAAAAGGTAGAGGCTCGTATCTCCAAAAAGAATACCTATACCACAGACGATGCCAGGCAACTTACAATTGGGTAAGCTAAGATGTCGTTAGTACTACTTAGAGACTTTAAACGCTTTGCATTTATTTTATATATGTATGTATGTAATATTTATTAATATTATATAATTCAATATTCACTCTATATACGCTGCTAGTCAACGGAAATGCATATTTTATGACGAGGTCAAACTGCAATACTTTCCCGAAGGTTACACATTTTCATCCTGCATGAAGGAGTGTCGCATGAAGCAAGCTCTAAAATTCTGTAAATGTAATCCACCGTTTTATAAGCCAATACGTATGTTATTCAACCTTATATACATATGTTTTATGTGATCAATTTTCATTTAATCTTTATAAATATTTATTTAAGCGTATGTACCCATGTGCGGCATATCCGATTTGTTGTGTCTGGAGAAGAACAAGGCTAATATTACGAATATTAGAAATTGTATGCATTGTGAATTGAGTTGCTCGAAAACCGTGTTTAATATAGAGAAATTAATTAAAAAGTGCGTGCTTTACAAATTACTTATGTACAATATGTATGTTTGACTTATAACAAGAAAGTGTTGTTTCATATTTTCTAGTACCGAAAAAACAGATGATACTGGAGTTTTAGTGGAGTTTCTTACTTGGCCCATTATAAGATATAAACGTGAGGTACTTTTCGGTTGGGTGGATCTTCTGGTGTCATTTGGCGGTATAGCGAGTTTATTTCTAGGTTTCTCATTGCTATCTGGTGTTGAAATAATTTATTACTTCACGCTGAGAGCTTGCTGTATGGTGTACAAGAACAGAGTGAGTAAAGAAGAGATACGTACATACATATATACACGGTGTGTCCCACAAATAACCGAACTTTTTGGATATAAAATAAAATACACATTATATTATCTTTGAAAGTTATTATTTATTCAAAATAAGTTCCATTTTGCTCAACACAACGTTTGGAACGATCAACCAGCGCATGCATAGATTTTTTTATGTCATTTATAGAAATGTTCTTCAGTACCTCGGTTACGGCTGCTTGAATGGCTGGGATATCATCACACAATGCTCCCTTCATCTTGGTTTTCAGTTTTGGAAATAAAAAATAGTCCCATGGTGTTAGACCAGGAGAATACGGAGGATGGTTGATGAGAGAAATCTTTTTTTTCATTAAAAATTCGAGCGATTTTTTGGTCGTCATTTAATTCATGTGGAACAAATCGCGCACAGACCTTTCTTTTCCCCAAATCTTCAGTTAAAATTCTCCAAATAGTGTTTTTACTCGTATTCAATTCCTCAGCCAACATTCTTGTAGTAAAATTTGCATCGATACCAATGATTTCGCGGACCTTTTCCACCAGTTCAGCACGATTACTAGTTTCTGGACGTCCTGCTCTAGGGTCGTCATTTAAATCCTCAGGACCATTTCGTCGTGTAAACCACGTATAAACTTACGTACGACTCATACAATCATCACAATAAACTTTTTTCATTAGTTTTTTTTTTTTCAAGTTTGACACAAAATTTTTATTTGCTCTATGTTCCATTTTATTTTTGAACCATTAGCACACTTTTGGTTTTATTGTAATGGCTGTCACTTTTACATCTGTCATCCGACTTACTTGATGAAGGCAATTTTTCAATAGATGGCGCTGTTTGTTGTATGATTACACCTTGTATGTTATATTTTTTCCCCAAAGTTTAAAGAATTATGTTAAATTTTCTAATCGCGATCGCCCCTCAGCAGGGAATGACCAGGGAAATCCATTATTTTTTCAATACATACTTACTTGTTTTACTAGCGTAGAAACCGCTTACACGATTATAGTCGAGCTAACAACATTGCGTAATTCGTTTCTTCTTCTTGGTGTTTGGCGCCAGTTGGAAATACCAAGTAAAGCCAGGGATTTTTTCTATCAGGCGTTCCCCTTCCTCTACTTTCACCGGCGGGTACTGCATCGAAAAATTTCAAAGCTGGAGTATTCTTATCCATCCGGACCACATGAACTATCTAGCGTAGCCGCTGCTTCTTAGTCGCTGAACAATGTCAATGTCGCCCTATAACTGATACAGCTCATCATTCCATCGGTTGCGGTATTCGCCGTTACCAAATCGTAGAGTACCAGTAAATCTTACGCAAAACTTTCTTCTCAAAAACTCCTAACGCCGACTCATCAGAGTCTCTTTCCAATGGACTATATAACTATAAGTCCGATCGGTTTCCATTAGATGGCGTTAAAAAGACGATATTTCATACTAAAAAAAAACTTTTTTGACAGTTTTGTGATTGATTGATTCGGTTTTGTTTGAGCGTGCATCAAAGGTGAACCCTAGCATGGTGATATTTTAAAATTTTTCCTCGATAAGGGCGGAAACGCAAGCCTGGCCTGGATATTGATACAGTCAATCATGCACAAAACCGGTTTCATTTCTCTAATCCTGATGTAAAAGATGCTTCACGGAGTGGAAGGCCAATTATTGAAAATGTCAATAAAAACATTAGTATTGTAGAGTCCGACCGGCTTGCAAGGAACTGTTTCGATTACCCAAGAGCTAAAGATTGCACAAGAAACCATTTCGAACCATTTGAATAAGGCTGGATATGAAAATTAAAGTCTTTAAGTACATCCAAAAATAATGGATTACTTTTTACTAGACCTTATAGATTTTATATTTATATGTAGAGGGTTTTCCAATAAGAGGTATTATTTTGATATTCAAAGAAACTTTTCCTTTAAAATAGCTAAGTCGTACCTTAATTTTTAATAATTAATATTACATGATTTCTTCAGGATATAGATTCAGGCGGTCATCGTGAAGGCGAATGCATCCTTGTCAATCGGCCTTGACGGAATAAGCATGCTCAATCTAAAACACGTAGGACCGAGCGGAAGCAGACTTCCTTACTAAGGTCTTGTATTTGACCACCCTAAAAATACCCGACATGTGGAAAATGGGCGGGGTAGTCCCGCTACATAAACTGGGAAAACCCGCCAACAAATGAGAGTCCATTTGACTGACATCTGTCCTCTACCCAGTAGTGAAGTCTCTTGAGACCGTACTGCTCCCGCCTTTCACCCATACATCTGAGTCCTACACACATCAGCATAACTTCCGCAAAGTGTCAGATATTTAATGGCCTCAACCAAAGCCGTACCTTTGCGCGAATTGCTCTAATAGCGCTGGATCTGTCAAGTGCTTTTGATATGGCCAAACATTTAGTGCTACTATCAGACATTGAGGAATCTTCATATGCTCATTAAAAAAGGGTTTTCGCAGGATGATGTACTCTATTATTATTGTTCAGCTTCTATATCTCGAATCTCTATCGTTCACCAGAAAGGGTTTCAACGATTTCATATGCCGCTGATGCTCGATATTGGCATCTGGCCAGGATATGGATGGCCTATGTTTGAAAGTAAGCTCAGCAACTGATTCTTTGCAAGATAATTACAAATACAATCGACAAAATCCTGGTCGTAAACCATGCGGCACCGAACTGGGCATCCGTAGGAAGCACCCCAGCAGATATCTAATAAAGGCTAAACCTTCACCCAGGCTCACAGAAGAACAGAGGCCAGCAACATGTGTAACATTAGGACGGCAAACAGACAGGCAATAAGCGCCATTCACCAAGAGACAGTCAACAGCTTTAAAAACTCTTTACCGGTGAATAGCGTCCTCGGAGTCAAATCGCCAACCATAGCAGATGATGCGAAAGTCCAGCATAATACTGATGTAACTTAGATGTGGATATTGTTGTAGGTTAAACTCCTGCGTATTCATATTCGACCCAGCCATACCTAACGTATGTCCAGCATGTAAAGATTCGACGCACAACTCTAACCATTTAAAACCGACACATCTAACTTCGCTCTCCTTATAGACCGAATCCGACGAAACAGTCTGTTTCCTGGACCTCGCATCAGATGACCTCGGTGTCAAAGATTAACTAACCTGTAACTAAGCGGGATTGTAAAAGTCGCTACAACAACAACAGCATGATTGCAAACATGCAAAGATACCTCTGAAGCTTACACTGCATCTACTGCACTTACATTCTCCGTAAATAAATCGTTATAAAGTACTTTGCCCTTTAACTAAAACTAGCAGCCCGAAAATGGAGCTTAAGTTGTTAGATACTCTTTTACAGCCCTCTCTTCTTTAGTAGCAAAACAGCATCTGCCTAATATCCAAACCAGACTACCAACCAGCCATCTCCAGCGCCACATTACTAATTCTCCTTAAATGAAAGAGACTAGTTTCGTGTTTTGAAAGGTAGTCGTACACAGCCCGGTGTAATAAAAGTAAATAAGGCAAACAAAAATCCAGCGTCCCTTGACGTGACAGTAAATAAATATTTTAGAAGTGAGCAATTTTTGCAGAAACTGTTACCACCCTACGATTGCCTACGTGCACGTGTAGGTCGAATTCACGCTTCGAGAGTGTGGTGTGCTGAACGGGCGACTTTCCTGTGAAGTGCTCTGAAAGTTGGCGAAGTAAATCTCTTAAAACGGCGATACGATTTGACAGCTCACTAGCAAAAAAGGAATATTTCAATTTAACACTGTAACACTGAATGGTTGGCCATACCAATTTATTGGGTTGCCCAAAAAGTAATTGCGGATTTTTCGTATAGTCGGCGTAGACAAATTTTTTCAACGGCTTGTGACTCTGTAATTGCATTCTTTCTTCTGTCAGTTATCAGCTGTTACTTTTAGCTTGCTTCAGAAAAAAAGTGCGCGAAATGTTGTTTACATTTGTTTGTTTGGCGTCAATTTTAATATGGAGCCCACCAAGGAGCATTTTCGTCATATTTTACTTTATTATTTCCGTAAAGGAAAAAACGCGGAACCAAAAGAAGGTTATGCTGTCTGTTTGGTGGGATTGGAAGGGTGTCGTATATTTTGAGCTGCTTCCAAGGAACCAAACGATTAATTTGGATGTTTACTGTCAACAATTGGACAAATTGAATACCGCCATCAAGGAGAAGCGACCAGAATTAGTCAATCGTAAAGGTGTCATATTCCACCAGGACAATGCTAGACCGCACACATCTTTGGTCACTCGCCAAAAACTGAGTGAGCTTGGCTGGGAACTTTTGATGCATCCACCATATAGCCCTGACCTTGCACCATTTATCTCGATCTTTGCAAAACTCCTTAAACGGTAAAACTTTCGGCAACGATGAGGCTATAAAGTCGCACTTGGTTCAGTTTTTTGCAGATAAAGGCCAGAAGTTCTATGAGCGTGGAATACTAAATTTGCCAGGAAGATGGCAAAAGGTTATCGAACAAAATGGCAATTATATATTTGAATAAAGTTCATTCTAAGTTTTATTAAAAATGCATTTACTTTCTTTTAAAAAATCCGCAATTATTTTTTGGGCAACCCAATAATATTTACTTTGCTGTTGGCCGTTAAATAAAAAGTTCTTTCAATTTTCAAACAACTTTAAATAATACAAATATCTAAGTTTAAACTTCTATGAAAAAAAGCCTTTTCATTTATTTACTACAGCAAGAATTGTATGAAATCGAAGAGGAAATCAAGCGTAGGCCACCACCGCCCATTAATCTTTCACTACGAATAATGCCTTATGTTTCAAAGCCTCTACTACCTGCGACAAACCCAGATGATAACCAAATTCGAAACAATTTGAATGGCAAGCATTTCAATGGCAAACCGATTAATTTAAGCAAACGAAATAATTTTAACACGAATACATCACAAAATGTCAAAGAATTGAGTAGACGTCGCGGAGGTGATATGGTGTGTAGTTAATCAAATAGCATAAGATTTGTATTACTGACGAATAATTTAATAAAAATATATAATTATACAGGACTACAGTGGATATTCGAAATCGCTTTACAAATCTGCGAAAATAATACCACAGTACCGCAGTGATGCAAACAATGAGTGGCAATATGGACAATATCTGCCCTAAATAATTGTAAAATAGTTATGTATTTTTTGCTTAAAAGTGTTGTATAAAATACATTGACTTAAAGTATTCAAAAAATAAAAATAAATAAATTTAAATAAATTAAAAACAAAAATTTTCTTAACCCATGAAAGGTGCAAATGAATAAGTAATATAATATTTAAACTCACCAGTATATCTCTCAAAATTAAAGATATTTTACTTATTAATTACTAACAGTTTGCTTTACTTTATAAAGCGACTAACTTTGTAACTCTCACATTCTACTAATTCACAGCAAAGTTATCGCTAAGGAATTCTCTGCTCAACTGACATCCGAGTGTGCGTGTTCGCTCTTATATACCCACCGATTTTCTCGCATGCAACTCTGCAAGGCTCTGCTGCAGTAGTTCTAGTAATAGTCTAGGTAGGTAGTTCTAAGGTTTATAGAATATAAGGTTACGACTTGAGCGAAATCATATGTTTAAGGGGGAACCTGGTTTAGAACGCTGAAAATTGCATGATATTCGGCATAGTGTTTTAGGTTGTCTTACGTATGGAATGTTTCAAGTACTTTTGAAATAGATCATAGATACACAAATCTTGCAAAAAAAAATTACTCTCACTTTATTTGATACTGTTAAGCAATCACTAAACACACACAAACACTTCGTATTTGTTTGTGGCACCTCTCGCTCGAAGCGTCCATTTTGTGAGCACGATAGCGATCGTAGTTTTCATCTAAAACATAAAATCGAATACTTTTTTTGGAGCTTAGGAGTTGCTCTTCTATGTGAACTTAAGATATTCGAAGAAATATATAAAATTATTTATTACTGTTTATAAAAAATTTTGCGTTTTTTTGAAGAAATTTTAAGATAATTTATTGAAAAAAGTTACAAAGCGCCAGTTATATATAATATCAAATCTCGCCCACTGTATATATGACGAAGTTGGTTCGATGACGCCAACGGTTGTCGTAACCTTGTATTCTATAAACCTTTGTAGTTCTCATTTATTTTCGTCTTCCCAAACGCAGCAAGTCTGCCAATGGTCTAGATTCCATAGGTGATGTCATTCCACCGATTCAGCTACAGGCAAACATTTTTTTGAGTTTTGTTATGGAACTGTTTCAGATTATATATTTTTGGAAATAGTGAAAAAACCTTTCTCTTATTGACGATTATAAAGTTATACTGCTTTAAGTAATTCCCCCAACAGAGTTTTAATAATACGAATGTGCAAATTGTGCTTCTGCTAACAAAAATTACCTTTGCAGGGTTGTTTTGTGTATAGATGATTGATATCCCATTAAAAACAGTATGTACATATCACAATCTTCCTGACACTTACCCAATACCTTCCTCAAGTAGATTAGTTCAACGGTTCTACCATGGGTTCTGATCAAAGATGTTTGAATTTTCCGGATACCAAATATATAGCACATCTTATGAAATACTAGCGGCAGGCAACCCAGTTATAGATGAATACATCAGATACTATTTTTGCATCCTTGAATAGTTCATAACAGTCAAAACATGTCGACCTGCTATATACTTGATAGTTCGTTCGAACACTCAGTAGAAGAATTGCTTTACTATATCTGGAGTCTTCGTGATGCCATCGGAACCATTGTGGAATTCTATTAGAAAATCCGAAATTCTACCCGAACTACGTCCAGATAGCGCGAGTATTGATCATCTTCGTTTTCCATATAATTAGCTATTATTAGCTTTAGCGATTGGACTTTCTCCTGCTATTTGTTCTTCTATTGGTCAGATGTTCCATATATATCCATAACTTTTATGTTTCCTATTCCTCCGTTGTTATTAATGTCGTTAGCCGTTAGCAGCTTTGAAGCAGTGTTGACATTCTAGACTGCATGATCTATGGGACATGGCCTCAGCGTTTCGGTGGACAGTTCTTTTTCGAAACTCAATGGAGAACTCATTGCTTTGCAGTCACTCCATTCACTGAGATATTTAGCTGTTCAGCTTTGAAAATGCTACGCTGGCCACCGTCGGTTTTTTTGCATAATCCTAGGATACTTCTCAGTTCATGCAAATCGTTAAGTCGTAGCCAACATTTACTTCAAGATGTCCGATATAATTCCATAAGCACCTGGTTTATAAGGCTCTCGAAGGTGACAGGGGCATTGCATAAACCTACACGGATCAACTCCAATCCTAAAGAGTATCTCTTTTTATCCACCATATTTACCTTATGTTGTCAATAGCCACACTTCAGATCAACAGGTCTAGTAAATACTACAAACCAGACAAAAGTTTTATCCTCCATACTCCACTGGGTTGTATAGGCTGTCTATCGAGGAATGGTGGCTTGATCCTGAGAACAGTGGATGGGCTACACAATTGGAAGTTCTCGCTCATTTGGGACTGCAGTATCTTAGACCAAAATATTCTGTGTTTGTGTAATTTTCACTTCTAAGAATAAAATCTGCTCCCTTTATTCAATCCTTTGTGCAGTACGATTAAATTTTCGAAACTTCAGCCGTTTACTAACACCACTTAACTCCAGAGTCGTCACTAACAAGTTATGTACTCAACTCACATACCAGCGGTGTGCGTCTTAGGTTTCACATACCCACCGGACAATCGGGCCGGGTAATTTCTTTATGAATACATGTGCTTTAGAAAATGTTGTAGTTATTGGTGCCTCCTATTCATTTGACATTCGCAACAATATGATTTTTTTAGATTTCCGGTTTATTTCGAACACCAAAGTAAATATTTTTTAGATGGTAAACAACACGGCCGGATATTATTTTCGGAAATTGCCGCCCGTACTTTTTAAAAAGTTTTAGTGCCATCTGTTGACAAAAAATATATTTATATACTCATTACCTAGATGTCGCCAAAGTGGTATCAAACAGAATATGCGTAATAAGTAAATCAAATAGATCAGTGTTGCCGTTGTCTATTTTATTGAAATACCACATGATCCTTATTTTAAATTAGTTTGTTGAAACTATTTTGAAACGTACTAATATAAGTTACAAATATTTGTTCTTTCAAATAATTTGCTATGGTTTCACCTTAAAGCATTTTAAGAATGAGGAATCTGTAACATAAATTATGTTTTTCAATAGAAAACTGAAGCATTAAACAAAAATTATTCCCTCGAATCTTCCTACTCCGAAACAATACCAACGGTAACACTGTAGAAAACAGTTGATAATTGGAATGTGAAGGAAACGGTAAAGCAGACATTTTAGAAGCTAAAAAAGTTTACAAATTTGCTTTACTCTTATAAAAGTAAAATTTATAAGAATAATTTTATAGAATACAGAAAAGTGAATAAATCGCGTATTGGAAAATTAAAAAGATATCTCCATACGAAGAGAGCAAATTTGCTTGCTTTTAAAGGGAGTTTGTTATTGCGCTTTGGTCTGCGGGCATACTTTTATTACCTACCAAATTGTGAAATTTTTCCAATTGGCAAAGGCTTTGCGATTATTGTTAAATGAGAACTATATAAACCTCATATAGGTCTTCTGTATACAAATAAGTGTAACGCAAAATTATTTATTGTGGAATTGCGCGTGAGTTATAAAGTAAATATACATAAATACAATAGTTGCTGAAAAATACTTGTACACGGAGAGGAGATGCCCTTTTATGGACTCTATGTGCCCGGAAAGGAAGGTAAAATAAGTTTGCAATTGATATAATTGAAAATGTGTGGAAAATCGGATAAAAAATTACATGTGGATTTTGGCAACCAGCATCATGCGACAATATTGGTGAAATGTAAAATATTTTCTAAAAATCCAATTAAGGCAAAATGCTAAGCATTTTTCAATATCAAAAATTACTTAAAAGTTTACTACAGTTCATTGCTACTTGACGATAATAATTTCAAGTAAAATCTCTCGCTTCAGCTGAATGATAAATATGTATCTGAAATAATGCGACCGGCTTTTATGCAGCTGTGCAGGTTGTTAACAAAGCAAATGCTTGTGCATATTCGCATCTTTCTTGTGTAATAAAATTACTATTTATTCTCGTTGGGTACTTTTTAAAGCAGCTATTCGAATTCTTCGACTGCATGGATTTATAGTACATATATATGAAGAACGATTTTTAATGAAATATTTTCTTACTAGTAAAAAAAGCATTTGCTTCTTTATTATCTATAAAACACTCGCACTTCTCCTACCTGCAAAGTTAAATAAGTTTTGCATGGCATTAAAGTATACATACAATATACACATTGTATGTAGATATGTTGGTAATGTAAACATGTCAATAAATAAGTAATGTGCTTGTACAAATTTATTGTGTAAATTGCACATTAGTCAGTGTGTGTGTGTAAATTTGTAAAATGCAAAAATAAACTGGTTTGTTTAGATGCTATACAGATTCTACAGGTAATTCTGAACCAAATACGTGTGTAATTGCAAACTCAGAGAGTCAAGAACGAATTGTATGTATATTTGTTTATATGTGGAAATACTCTGCAGTAAATTTGTTATATATGTGCATACATTCGGATAAGGCGTCCGTTTCATATAAAATCAGATAATGTTTTCAAATCACATTTAGAAATTATTTATATACAATATACTGCTATAGGTACATCGATGCATATTTGCTTTAATATCAACCTCAATGTACACACTTGCAAACAAATGAATTTATATTATATTACTTTTATTGTTTGTATTCATCTAACATTGTGTTTTCGGTTGCCTCAGTAAACGTAATGTTGTGATGACGTAATGATTTGCTGATCTATGACGAATACGCTAGCCGCTCCAATTAATGATTTCTGTAAATGAATTTCAAAAACGACACCATCATTACCCTTGCAGTAATTATGTATGTATACATTTGCTCATCTACACTTTCGCCACCGACCATATGTTTTTCATTGTTTTTGTTTTGATTTACACATTTCTATTTGTCGTCATTTTACTCTCGCTTCTCACCTGCTTTCGTACACTCGCGAGTTGTACATTATTTCGGATACACCTATAAAGAGTTGATGAACGACCGCCTGTACTTTGGATTTTTGAAATTTTGCCAATAAAATAAAATGTCGTAAGAAAACACGCGATTCGCGGCATTAAAAATAAAACAATTGGGTCTGGGTATGACATGATTTTCCAACACAATACACGCTTTTAACTACATACATATGCGTATATACAAAGATAAGTTAAAAAATTAATTATATTTATGGACCATTGTTTCTATTTAGCCGATGCCCCGTATGTATTTAACCTCAAGTGTAAGGCACTGGATGTGCTAAAGCTGCATAAAGAGGCCAGATTACGTGAATTCAATAATGAGAGTGATGCGATTAAATTCGCGCAGACGGGTCATGAGGTGGTTGCGCCGCCGCGTCATCCCGATAGCAAATGTATGTATTTGTATTAAATTTAGTGATAAAGGCTTAATAATATTTTTTTCTTCACAGCATCAATAGTTGCGGAAAAGGCGGCATTTCGGGGACCCACAAAGCAAGAATTAATTGAATTCCGTAAAGTAATAGAGTCCGGTGATTGCGAGCGTGTGAATGCGATGATTTGGGATAATCCACGTTATTTGGTTAGTGCAGGTGATACACCTACAACACTAAAAGAGGGTTATCGCTATAATGCGATGCATATTTGCGCAATTTCGAAAAAACCACGTATTGCTGAATTAATTTTAAAGACCGTAAGCGATCCGAAATTCGTAGATTTGCTTACAGGAAAAAAGAATGATATAAAAATGTGTAAAGAACTATGCGTAAATCTATTGGATTATTACTTAAATATACCAGAAAAAGGTCGTAGCGAAACGCCTTTACATTTGGCAACCAAAACGGGGGCTATTGAAATGGTGGAGGTGTTAACCTCATTCCCTGAATGTAAAATAACACCAAATTCCGAAGGTTTATATCCAAAAGATGTAGGTTCATATTAATAAAGTTTTATCGATAATTTAATTCATTAAAATTGTTTACAGATAATTTGTTCACGCGTAACCAGCGCTACGCCAGAGTTAAGGAAAAAAATTGAAATGCTGTTGGAAGAACGTTTTTATGTGCCCGTTTTACGTTCAGTGGATAATGCAGTACCGCCAAAAATTGGACAACCATTTTCTACCAGCAATCCACCGGTAAGACGAAAACCCAAATTGTTTACAACATTCAAATTCGATTCGTTTATATAGTAAACGATTGCAAACCTTTTAAACATATTCAATCATTTTAGAATCTCAACTCTGATCCACTGAGCGCTGAAGTCAAAATCGAAGCATTAGCCGGCCCAATGAATAAGGAGCATGCAACGGTAAGAATGTTAATAATTTTTTTTTTATTGCACATACCATTTAATTTACATTACATTAAAGCAATTCTGTCGCCGCTGGAAAACACCACCACGTCTTGGCAGTACTATGTCTTCACCGGTTGCCTACAACAAGTTCATTTCCCCTGTTAAAACACGTTGCACCAATGGCACACCATCTAAAAATTCAATCAGTACATTAAGTAATGGTAGTCCAACTGTTGGCACGCCAATTACAAAAATCAATCGACGAACTTTATTTAATTCCACCCCACGACGTTCAAGTTGTGAAATAATAGATGAAAATGATATTATCACAAACGCATCTTGCGATAAACAGAATGGCAATCATAAAATTGATCAAGCCACTATTGAAACGAACAATTCTACCTCCGGTTCGGCAACCGCAACCAAAACCGAACACGAGAACAACAATAACGATCGCGAAATGGAAATAAATGTTTTAAAAGACTTAACAGCGCAAAGTACACCAGTCTTACAAACGAAACGTGAATTATTTTTCACATACCGTGAACCCAACCCAAATACTCCGGTAGAACGCAATGCAATCGATGCTCGTGAGGCACCTACCACGCTGAACGAAGATCTAGACATCAGCGCAATTGAAATGAATAATGAACCGCAACCGATGGAACAACATGCATTTAAATTGAAAAGTAGCATGCTAAAGACGGCATTGTGTCGAAAGATGCCATTGTTTAAGGATAATTTTAACACATACCGCGATAACAGCACAGCTTCATCGCCTGATTCCGACTGTTGTAATGATTCTCGTAATTCGGTGCTGAATGACCTTAACCATTACGACAGTCCGGGTTTTAAAGAGCGTCACATTAAAATCAGCGATACTGAAAAGGGGCTGGAATTAATTGGTCGTGAATTAGCTAAAGAACAGAATGTGGAATGGCGTGAATACTGGGATTTTTTAAATTCTTTCATTAATATTTCTTCGGAAGAAGGTTTGAACAAACTGGAAAATTTCTTTGCGCAACGTGTTAAGGAAGAAGAAATGACAAAGAAAACGGCACAAGCTATGGCTAAGTCGGCGGTAATTTTAGATAACGTTTGTAATGCACTGGAGAAACTTCATTTTCCGGAAAATTCTAATATGCATGATTTTCGTAATGGTTTCAATAATGAGCGTGCACGCTATGCGAATATGAGTGGTGGCACTGGTGAAAATTCCACAACAGCACCACAATCTACAACGCCTTATACATGCGTTGAGAAATCGGTCCAAGTATTTGCCAAACGTATGACTAAAACCATTATACATAATATTGATAATATGGTGTCTATTAATGACACTCTGTTGTCTGAGTTGAAAAGACTGAAATCGTTAATATGTAGTTTTAAGGAAGATACGCGTTTCCTAAATGTAAATTTTGCAAAAGTACATTCAAGAATTGGCAAATTAATTTCAATTTATTTGGCAAACTCACAAGAAGTAACGCCAGCAATGAAAATAAAGGTTAGTTTCAACACTTAGTATTATATACTAAATAAGAAAGTAACAAATGTAATATTAAACTATCTCCCATAGCTACAAGGTATTATCAAACACATGCTTACACCCGGGGAACGACGTGAGCATATGGAATGCGTTTGTTGGCGAATACTTAATATGTTAGAGACTCCAAGTAAGTGTTTATATAACTAAAAAGCGATACTAACTTTTATTATATATATTTTTTTCTTTATTTTATATACATATTTTTTTCCACAGCCGATCAAATACTGCCTGAACAACTTAAAACCGAAGAAATGTGTTCAAATGAGTGGGGGAAAGAGCGCGAATGTGACTGTCAATGGGAAACTAATCTGAGTCGCAAAACAAGTCGACGAAACCGCATGGAGGCGCGTTATCGTAGTCATCAGCAAGCTAGATATCAACAACAACAAAACCAAAAGCAACAGGAACTACAAAAGACGAATGATATTAATGCTGATGGTCGTGGTGGTGGTGGTGGTGGTGGTAGTGAATGGCGCGATCCTTTGCCGTGCAACGATGGTGATAACGCTATGAAATCTAAAGAACAATGGCGCGATCCTGTCGATTGTAATGAAGACGTTGAGAGCTGGCGTGACGTTAACACACAAGATGATTCATCAGACAATGATGTATTTTGGGTAAAATCATAATGGAATAGTCGAAAAAAGTACATATTTATATATTGATTTTATATTCTATATTTTCCTGTTTTATTTTCAGTCCGATTTTGGTGATACTGACTCGGACAATGAAGATGAGGTTTGGGCTACACCACCCGAAAGCCCCTCACAGTTGAGTCTGATGGAAGAACCTGCAGAAGAGGAGGCATTTAAAATATTCATATATGGGTAAGCAAGTGTTTTTTGCCTTATAGTTATATGTACAGCTTGGTGGAAAGGTTAGAAAAACGCGAAATGAAAAGAAACTGTTTTTTGGTACGAAACTTCAATACACTAATTCGAGTGATCCTCCAATAATTGTATGCCATCCCTATAATGAATATCTGCAAAATACGCGTCTACGGTTGCAATAACTTCTGCATTCGACGAAAAATGCTTTCCACGAAGTAATTGTTTCAGATTTCTGAGGAGGTAGTAGTCGCTCAGAGCCAATATGGTGCTCCATCAATTTGTACTTTAATTCGTTGAATTTTTGTCATTGTTAAAACACCTTTGGGATCCAGTTTATCTCAAAGGCTTCAACAATATTCAGAATTGATTGTTTTACCTTCCTGCAGATAATCAATTAACGAAATCCCTTTCGCTTCCCAAAAAAGGGATGCTATAACTTTCTTTGCTGATCGTTGTGACTGCACCTGCCTTGGAGCTGAGCAACCAGTTTCAGCCCACTGTAAACCTTCTTGTTCCAATATGGGTTCATGATGGTTGATCTAAGACTCATCCATAGTTATAAACCGACGGTTTTATTCTAAAGATTTGTTTTCGATCTTGTATTTGTTGAGTTGTTTGCTTTCACTAACTTTTCAAACTGCTTTTTTATATGAAATTCTCCATGTAAAATATAACGTTCGTCAAGCTTGAATCTTTACTAACAAGACTATGAACTGGCTGAACAATTTCTAGTGCGATTGCGGGTTTGGTCGTTCTTCGCGTGGAGCGTCTTCAAGCATAGTACGATCATGTTCAAATTAACCAGCAAAGGTTATTTCAAAACGAAAAATCTAATCACAGCGGGATATTAAATTTTTACCGTATTACAAAAATACTCTGACACATCAACTCCAAATGGTTTTTTTTTTTTTTTTTTTTTTGCTGTCCGAATATTGAATGGAAACCAAAATATTTTTTTTTTTTTTTTTTTTTTTTTTTTTTTTTTTTTGCAATTTCGACGTTTTAAATTAATTTTATTTGAAATTTTCATTGTTTTATTTAATTTGTAACTTGTTTTTAAATGTCAAGAACCAACAAACTGCTGATCGGTGAAATACAAAAATCATCTCTTTCTTCTTGTCGCTAATTTTTGTTCTCTCGCGGAATTAGGGAAAAATTCACCACGCGAATATTTAAAATTCAGTTGATTATCTGACGGAATGGGTTGATTGGATGCTATGTAATATAGTCCCTCCGTATCGATTATTTTCATTATCACTTCTGCAGTATAAGTATGTTCTTAACTCTAACTGCGCCAGATTTATTTTTATCACTAAGGCAACTTCATTACTGATTCTTTTTCTTTTATCTCTATTTTTTAGTAATGAACCAACAAAACGGGATGTTGACGTATTGAACGCATTACTGCATATGGATGTCGATCCAACAAAATATGCCAATATACATTCTTGGAAGGCGGCGATGCTACGCTATCCTAAAGAGGAAATGGATGCGTAAGTGCTAAGTGTTTTGGTGCAATAACAATTCAAATGTTTTAACAATATTTAAACAGTCTATGAAAAGTGTGTCTGTGTGCGTGAGCTGAGAAAAAGCATAATAATTTGTCAAGTTATTGTTGTTATGCGTTTGAAAAGCAATTGGATGCAAGTTTTAGATTTGGTGTTTTGATTGTTTTTATGATGTGGTATGTAAATGTACGTATGTATGCTATTGTTAAACTTGTACATGTGTATATTATTTAATTATAATCAAAATTGAATTGAAATGAAAATGTAAATTTAAATTTTACTATTTTTCAGTTTTCCATCTCTGTCAATTGTAAAGAAATCGCATTCGTTCACTTCCACGCGTACACCGCAACGTAAAGAATTTCCACTTACACCGTTCGCACAACGGCAAGCATTATCCAAAAGCATTTCAAGTACACCCATTACAGTCAAGTTAACAGGAAAATCACCGTTTCCTTCGCAACAGCAATTGCATACAACAATCAAACATCGGGAACTGCCAACAACAGCGAAACGCATCTTCACACGTCAGACGCTCTCCAATCTATTGGCTCCCTTTAACGTCAGCAACACGCACTAACAACAACTGCTTTCTGTGGGTGTTGATGTGTGCCTGGAATTTTACTTCAAAATCGACTTAAACAAATCATTAGTAACTTGATTTTCTACAACGCTGTAATCGTCTCTAATCATCCGATTGGAAACAAGTATAATTTAACCTTTGGATATTTTCAAAATTTATTTCGATTTTGGACTTAATTATTTATATCGATTTTGTTTGTGTGCATATTCAATTCATATAATTTCTTTTGCTATTGCATTGTTTCATTATTAGTGTTGTGTACGTCTCTTTTATTTATTTTCACCGTTGCTTATTATAATTACAAAAAAAAAAAAAGATTAAAAAATACAAAGAACGTCATGTACATAGATAACTTTTATAAATGAAATGTTCTCTATATTTAATTCCTTTATTGTTACACACGAGCATATGCTATATTTGATTTAAAAACTTACTCCAAGTGAATTTATAGTATTAAACTACACAAATCTATATTTAGCTGCCCACTTAACTTTTTTTTCTTGTGCAAAACTAAATAATGATTGCGCGATTAAAGGCTGATTTAATAATTTATATACGTGGCTATATATATATATACATATATACATAATTCAATATCATACATTTGAATTACTACGCAGAACTTAAAACTTCTTTGGAGCTATACATACATACATACATACATACATACATACATACATACATACATACATACATACATATATTGTATTTGAGTTCGTTTTTAATTGCAATTTCGTAATGTGCATGAATGAGAGAATCTCATCGTAAAAGATTTTTATAATCAAAATAGTTGGGCTTAATAATACCTATTTTTAAAGATTGTAACAGTTCCGTATATATATTTACAAAATTAAGTGTTTTGTAATATTATATAATTAAATACACAAATGCATGGAAAAATGGAAAAATCCAATTCAGATATTTAAAAATAATATAATTTTTTAAAATATTAAAATAAAAAATAGCGTTGAAGCGATTTAAAAAATTTAAAAGAAAATATATTGTTATTTAGTTTTATTGTGCGTTGGATTAGTACTTATACAATTTTATGCTGCATTTATATAGCCCAATTTTAATATTCTTTCCCTTGCGGATTAGAGAGAGATTCGCCAATTCTAAATGCACAGGGAGAATGTTTTTTTTTTGGGAGTAGGATTTTTTCTTTATTTCGAAAACAGCTGCTTAGTATTATTCTGTTTTATTGACATTTGATAATTTGGTGAAATAAACACAGGAAACGTGGAAGAATGCAATTCTTCTTCAACGTAGACAAATTCTAAACCAAGGCAAATATCCCACGTCCTTTGGCAAGATCTCCCGCTCCTGCAATCCAAACTTCCTCGCAGGCAACCATTCCACCGACTCTTTCATCACTTCGGGAGAGGACATATAACGCTTGCCTTAGGGCCACCTGCTGTCTTGTTTTCTGGCCTTCAAGTTTTGAGCCGCACGTACATATGTATATCTTTTGATCATCCTACACCTTAAAGCGAAATTTGTATTTAAAAAATCTTTTACTGATAGAGAAATTTTACTTTCTTTCATTCCACAAAATTTTTTTTCAAGCGGTTACGCGGTATTTAGTTCGTTATTTGCCCTATTTATTACCCTTAGCAAATCCTCGGGCTATAGCCAGAGTTTCCATCAGCTCCACTAGCAACTGCGGATTTTGACCTAAAAAAACCAGTGATGATTATTTGTATTATATTTATTAAATACTTACATTTTGTTTATAAAAACTCCCACACAACTTCTATGGGAAAACACTTTCGCGGAATATTGAAATAATCAGATGCAATGAAGATGCCAACTTTTTCCACTGGGAATGTTTCCCCATTTTCGAAATTTGTTTAGAATACGAGGAGAGGAAAAGAGAAAAAAGCGGAAAAGTGTGAAATCTACCGGGGAGTTTTCATTTAGAATATATCTGTTAGAGTCTACCATCTTCCTTGCATCATTTTCACATTTATTCAAAGTTCAACACTGCGAAATAGGACAAAGTTAAAGACAGCTTTCGTTGCTGCTGGTATGCTACCTTAGGAAACAACCCTTTAGACACTTACTAGATGCCGAATCACCACCCAGGCACATCAGGAAGGGAGTACTCAACAACACGACGGCATTAAACGACATTTACCGAGAGTCGGTCAACATTTTTCTGAACTCACTTTCAATGAATGGCGTTCTAGGAGTCAAACCATATCCCCATCGCAGACGAAGAGTTGATTTGCCTAGAAAGTATCGCGTAATATTGGCACAATTAGGATCTGGATATTGTTGTCGACAGTAAACATCTTTTTGTATGTTCCTTAATACAAACTCATATAATCAGCACTTCCCTCTGGTCCGAACCGATTGAACTGAACACTGAAACAATTCTTCTCCTGGATCTTGCGTTAGATTACGTTGATAGCTTAGTCCGATCTTGCCTGATCCTAAGCGGCTCTAGTTAACCACAGCAACAGCAACAACAAGAGCTTTCATTCAGTAACGATTTGTTCTCCTGCAGAAAAAGCACATTTCGGATGTTGTGAGACACGACTTAAAACAGACATAACCAAATCGCAAATATACATAGATAAATCAATATTCAGAAGGAATACTCTCAATTCGAAAAATGAAATTTGTTACTATTTGTTTGAGATTGAACATTTTTTTTAATATGCAGCTGTAGAATAAATTTCCATGAAAATGGAGTCAACCGCGATAGTCCATAGTATTGCCAGACACACTTCTTGCCTATTGTGTCTCTAGTGGGAAGAATATTGCTGTTCTTTTCGCAAGTTGAAGTAGTAGACAGAAGATCTTCCAGCCTTTCGGCGCCAAGTAAGCTCGAATGTCTCCTTACATTAGTAGTTCGTTCCCAAAGTCTGTTCGCCAGACGGAGTAGAATTGCTTCTTGCTTTTGATTCACTACCTTGAATGAAACTGGCAGCTTCATTACTACGAGTACATCCTGTTCTAAAAAGACATCCTCCTAAGTCAGTTCATCAGCTTTCTCGTTGCCTTCAAGACCCTGGTACCCAGTAAATGTAAACTCTTCTGTTTGCAGACAGTACCTGAAACAGCTGAATTCGTGCTTTATGAAATCAAGGCCTTTATGGCCGCTTGGTTTTCAACATAGGGGTGCATACTTTTCTACTGCAGTAGCTCTGCCGCCATTTTTATAGCAAATATTTTGGCTTGTAGGATACTGCAATATTTTGGTAGCTTATACGACTTCTTTAACTTTAGTTAGGCCCAGTAAACTAAAGACCCCACTCCTTCGTTCAGTTCAGAACAACATTTGCTCCAGCCATTCGCCTCTATTTTAGCTGACAACAGCTTTCTGAAAGTCAGGCGGGGGTGTATATAGTCCATCGGTAGGCCCACGGAAGAATTTAGTATCGTAGTAGTTAAATATGCTCTGTTTTGGGTACCAGGTTTGTTGGTGGGATGCTCAAAATCCATGTAGCACTGCAGATGGTGTTGCTTTTAGTGCTTCATAGATGCAGAATACTCTTTCCAGTCTATCCAGCTATGTTATCCACCATAGTTAAGGTCCGCAGAAGAGTATCAACAAGTATAAAAGATAACGGGGGAGAGAGAAAAAGTGCAGCCCAAAAACCTTTTATACTTTCGTATAGGGCCGCTGATATCTTCTTCACATGCTCCTTTACATTAAGTCTCCACGACAACTTACTAACCAACACAATTCCCAGGTACTTAGTGCTAGGCTTCAGATAAAAAATGGCTTTGTAAACGGAACCAATTCTGTTTTACAGTATTAACCATGATTCGTCCGTATCGGCAAGTTAACCGCAAGGGTCCAGATTAGAGGCGTTAGCACTCCATCTAGTGGGGCCCCTGTCACTCCCGCAACATTCCCCAAGGGGTGCTTTGGTGAATAGTTTTGCGGTTACAACAACAACAACAACAATAACAACAACAACAACAACAACACACTCCAAGTCACAACGTCTAATCCCCATTGCACTTGGCTCGACCTGCAACTCAGTAAGGCATAACCAATCCCTAAGGAAAGGATATGTCGTGAAAGATGTAACAATTTGGTTGCTTAACTCTCTACTGCTGCATAGTCAGAAAGCTTGGGGAAAATTGTACTGCTGATCTCTACCGATGCAGATACCGCTTACGCGATTATAACCGCTGTTTGGCGGCATTCGGAAATATCAAGCACTGTCGCTTTCCAAGGGAGTGGAGGTCTTTCTTTTCTTTTGCTTCCCTTAGAGGGTACTGCATCAAAAGCTTTCAAAATATTACCGTATTCGAACGACATAACCATTCCTATAGGACCATAAATCTTACGCACACGCTTCTGTGGAAAACTCCTAATGTCGACTCATTAGATGTTGTTATCGTCCATGCCTCCGCACCTTATAGCAGAACGCTAACGATGAGCGACTTGTAGAATTCGGTCTTTGCTCGTGGAGAATGGAATTAACTTTTCAATAACCTACTCGGTCCAAAGTAATACCCGTTGACAATATTGGTTCTGTGCTGAATTTCCAGGTTGATATTGTTGTTGGTTTTTATACTGGTTACAAGATAGACGAAGTTATCGACGACTTCAAAATTACAACTGCCAACAGTGACGCGGAAGCCAAGTCGCGAATGCCATAACAGTTTGTTTGATGGCAGGAGATATTTCGTCTTGCCACGTTCACAACCAGACTCACATCCTTCGCTTCCTTATCTAGTCTGGGGCATGCAAAACTCATGGTGAGGTTGTTGATGCCAATAATGTCAATATCATAGGCGTACGCCAGCAGCTGTATATTCTAATAGAAGATTGTATCTTTTCTATTCAACTCTCCAATTCGTGTATTCTCTCCAGCAATACGCTAAAAGAAGTCACACGATAAAGAATTGCCTTTTCTGAAACCTCATGTGATATCGAATAGCTCGAAGAGGTCCTTTCCAATCTTGGCGAAGATTTTGTTGTTGCTTAACGTAAGTTTTCATAGTCGTATACGTATTGCGGGGATAAAAAATTCGGACAAATCGAAAGCTGCTTTAAAATCGACGAAGAGTTGGAATGTGTCGAACGTCTTTTCACAGGTGAAAAAATCACGATTTGACTGCAGCTGAATATCTGGTCAACAACAAAATAGGCTCTGGCAACTAGATTACCAGATTGATTCTTACACCTCACGTAAACATTTTGCCTTTTATTAATTGTGGGTTGCAACACAAACGACCAACACGATTATTTTTAGTGGATTTTGAGAATTTTCATAAGCTTAGAATAGTAAAAAATATTTGAAATTTGTTTGATTTCACATCAAAATGAACCTTTCACTTTTGGTGTATGTATGGAATTCATCAAAAATAACAGAAATCTATTATAAAGTGAACGTGGAGGACATTAAAAGCTGATAAATTTGGCGAAAATGAATATTTGCATAAATTAGATTAAATCGAACGAATAAACTGAAATTACTCAATTAATTTTAAAACCCGATATTGACCCGAAAAACAATTTATCACTTACCAAACGTTTTTATTTTGTTGTGAAATCATCAAAACGTTCAAGGTCTTGTCGAGTGAGACAGTTTTATTTATTTAAATAATACAAATAGTTTACTTATATTCTTTACAATTTTTTATTCGTTTGCGAAAACTTAGAATAAACAATTTATATTGATATACATATGTACATATATATAATCGATTTCGTATCACATTATTTATAACTCGTCTGGAGTTGTTTTTACATACCCTGCGCCCCCTTATAGCACAGGTAAGTACATTCTGCTTATGTTCTCAATGAAGAGTTCATTCTCACTATCTGGACGCGGTCTGTTATAGGCATAACCCTTACCCTTACCCACATCATCACTCACTTGTGGCTTTTGGTATTTATAACCATCACTGGAGACGCCGCCGGAATTTTTACGATCATCACTACTTTGCACAGTGTCCGGCACTACTTCCGCCTTCTTCTCTGTATGCACTTTGTCATCAAAACCGGTTGTAAGAACGCTTCCGCTAGTTGGCGTTGAAACGGTGGTGGAGTCAATGAGTTCGAGAAGATTTTCAGTTGTTGTGCTAATTACTGGCTGCTGCGCAACTATTGTTGGTTTAACGGTGTAGGGAGCTTCGGTGGTGAGAATCATAATCCTATTTGGGGTGGAATCTTTTAAAATCTGTTCTGTTGTTGCAATCAGCAAAGGCTGTTGCGTAACAGTTTCCGTTGTTGTGCTCGAAAATTCTCCCTCCGTGGTGGACGAAATCTCTGTACGAACGTTTTCTGTGTTTGCCGTAAATAAGGGTTCCGCGGTACTGATATTCATAATGCTGTTAAGCGTTCCGTCTGCGGTAGAAGCAGCTTTTGTTGTAGTAAACTCTGGGTTTTCAATACTTTTGGTGCTTGCGGTAAACACTGGCTCCCGGGTACTGGTTTCCTTGGTACTACTCACGGTTTTTTCTGAGGTCGAGTCAAGGTTTAGCGAAATTTTTTCAGTTGTGGTAAAAAACGAGTTTTCTGCTCTTTCCGTATTTGGCTTCTCAGTACTAGTAGTTTCTTTCCTACTACTCACAGTATCTTCCGAGGTGGTATCAACGTTTAGCGAATATTTTTCAGTTGTAACCGTGTTTTTAGTACCTGTTATTGGCTTTAGGTCATCAACAGTGGTTGTGGTAGCATCCAAAATCCTATTTGTCGTCGAAGCGACTTTTTCGAAATTATTGTCTATTGATTTTTCTGTTGAATGATTTTGATCATAGTCTTCGGAAGTCTCAGTATTTGGATTGATTGGCGATAATTCTCTGTTTGCTGTTGTTGTTGTTGTTGCTGTTGTTGACGACGATGTTGTTCTCTCTGTGCTGCTGACAGTAGAATGTGGAGCATTTGTTAATACTGCAGTGGTCGTGCGCAATACCGGTCTAAAGAAAGCGCTTGATGCGGGTGACATTTCAGTGGTTGTACTTGGTCTTTGAGTGGAGATACCGGCATTTAGTTTCAGGCCGAATTGTAAGTTACCACCACTAATAAAACTGGAGACCAGATTAGTTATGAAATTCAATTTGCGTTGAATGATAGTTAATGGCAGCTGAAATAAATTGTTGGTCGGTGGAGCTGTTGATAAGGAGTTAGCCGTTGTGGTAGGCGCTGGAAAAAGAGAATAATATTCTATATAATATACTATGAGAACACAAATTGTTCAGCACTGGCGATTATGAACACATTGTTCTCGTCCGCATCTCATGCGACATACTCTCATTATGAACCATCGGTTGGCTTAATAACGGGTTGGTACCGAAGCTCTTTTACTACAAAATTTCAGAGCACGAAATTCTACTTAAAAAAATTTAGGTTTTCAAAAATCTATATGCTGAAAATTCTCCCCTGAGGAAGATGAACCTGAGCTCCATTACTGACGTCACCGTCAGATGGTACAGGTACTGCGAATCCACTTGCAGTATTCCAAATAAGCGCCAGCTGCATTAACTTTTCGGCTCAGCGAAACTACAGTCGGCATCGTTATAGTCCAACCACTGCAGTGTCTTTCAAGCTGAACTAACTGTAATACTGGAAGCCACTTCATAATTACTTAATTCTAATTCAGTATCTCAGCCTATCACAATATATTCTGTCCTTAAGTCTCTCCAAGGCAATCATACCACCTCAAAGCAGGCAATAAAACGCAGAGAGATCTTAAACAAACTCCCGACTGTATGCGAAACGTCCATGGTTTGGGTCCCTAGTCATAGGGACATCCCAGGAAACTGCGTAAATGACTGACCTGAAAGGAAACAGTCTTAACCACGGTTAACTTTGCACATGACATGACCACATACAATATGAGAAGGCAGATCAGGCCATTGATTAATACAAAGGAACCTCCACGAGCATAAAAACCGGCGTGGTTACCGGAAACTACATATTTAATGGAGACTCATGGTAGAAGGGTGGGCTACTTCTCAGATGCCATAAACGAGAAGGAGTCGGAATCTGTCATTGCTTCGCCCTCGGGATAGGGATTAACACTAAAAATAATGTCAGCCTTAAAATCCAACTCAAAATCACTCTTACAAGCAGCTGCTACTTTGGATGAGTAGGCAATTGGTAAGTAAAGTCCTCTCTCGACGTATAATAAATGAAACTGAATTTTACATATCACTCATGACTACAATTCTACTATTTGATGCAGAGGCGTAGACGAAGTTGACTTCCGATGAGTCGACCTTGGGAGTTTACGAGTGAAAAATTTTGCGAACAATTTGTAAACCTTTCCGAAGTCGATGGAGCGATAATATACGCTGACATGAAATAATTCAGCGAAGGAAGAGACAGTTGCTACGCTAATGGCTAGATTATGTCTTCCGAATGAGTGAAAGCACTCCAGCTTTGAAAGTATTCGGTGCAGTAAACGCCGGTGGAAGCAGAGGAAGACCTCCACTCTATTCAAAGGATTAGATGGAAAGCGACTTGGTTTCACTTGCTCAGTTGTTATTCATTTGTTATCCTCTGGAGCCGGACAACGAAGAGAATAACTGAATGGCACGGTTATGTTGATTCAACTATTTGTAACCGCGTAAGCGTTGTCCACGCCAATGAAGAAAAAGAATTGTAGGCATTAGTGCAGGAAGAGAACGATCTGCAGTCCGTTTGAAGGATCAGGTCGAGAAGGTCTGGTCGGACTTTTGGTCTCTAATTGACGCCGAATAGCGAAGAGAAAATACAGCTGGCTTGTGCACTATTATTTACTGGGCTAAAATCGCGTAAGCAGTGCCTGCGCCAGTCAAAAAATAGAGGAAGAAGAAGATGCATACATAATATTTCAAGCAAGATGCAAACTTTCTTAGGGTGGCTTTCTTCCATAAGCGCACATTAATGCTTTTCTAACATTTTATATATGTATTTAAAGCACAATAGATACGCATTCGGTTGGCCAAAATTCTGTCCTTGATTTATTTAAAATTTTTCTCTCTGTTCGTCCCGCAATTTGTCGGAAAAATTTCAAGACGCACATCCAAAATTGGAGGAAGAGCTCGGCCGAAAATCGTTTCAGCGCTTACAAGCGCCAAAAATACACTCTGCACAATGCTTTAGCCTCTAGCCAACTGAATCTAACTCAAACAATTCCATATTGATCTTCGTTATTACTCAAAGCCGGCCGCGGTAGCCGAGTGGTTAGCGTTGCGTACTGTCATTCGAAAGGCTCGGGTTCAAATCCCGGTGCGACCGACATCCAAAAGTTATAGAAAATTAATTTAAATAAAAAACAAAGTTAAATTTTCTAATTGCGGTTGCCCCTCGGCAGGGAATGTCCACCCCTCCGAGTGGATTTCTGATATGTAATGAAGGCTCTTCATAGAAAAAACCATCAGTGTTTCGGAGGCGGCTTAGTGTAAACTGTAGTTCCCTTCATTCGTTGGAAAAAACATCAAGACCACAATTTGGGGGAGGAGGTCGGCCGAAAATCGCTTTAGCGGTTACAAAGCGCCAATTATAAAATTACCCGAAAAAGTTGCTTGAAATATATTTACTCAATTTTGCTTAAACAATGAATTTATATATAGACCTCCAAGCTTGGTATTTACATGCATATACATATTATATATGTAGAATCTTTCTTCTAATTTGCATAACACTCAAAAAGTCACTTCACCCCTACATACACGTACCTCTCGTCGTCAAAGTGAAGAAATTCGGTGGCAGGAATAAAAATGGTTTCGCTTCTGTTTGTGAGCACAAAAACGTAGTTGTCCCGATCAAAATGAGTAGAATAACAAACTTCGGCATGATTCAAGCTCAAAAAAATGAACAACAAAAAAAATTTCGAAATTCTACTTCCGCTAACAAAAAAACACTTGTTTTCGTTAATTCTTCTTTGCCGTTAGTTAACGCCTTTAACGTTCACCGCCTAATTTCAAACTGATATTGAAGTTTTGGCAAATTATCAACTTAAAGCGCGGCTAAAGACCATAGATGCCTGAAAGCCGTTTTGCAATAGTGAGAAATACCGAAATAGACTTGTATGTATGTATGTGTTTGTATAGATAGATAGATTTATATACATTTATATATTTAGTGTGAATGAATGAACATAAGCCACAAAGTTAAGCCAAATCAGTGCATGCGTACATAGTTAGCACTATTCTTTTTGAATCTCTTTCATCTCCTTTACTTGGAACGTTTTAATTTTTATTTTATCGCACTTTATTTTATATGTGAAACATATTGATATGTATGTATGTTTGTACGTAAGCATGTTTAACGATGAGACATATTTAGCTATCATTTTTGCATAGACCTTCTGAGCTAATTATGACCATTAAATCGCGCATCTCATAGAGTATTTTTTTTTCGTCACAACAAAAAAAATTAAGTTTGTTATTCTCCTCACAAATTCTTTAAGCAAATAGATATGTATATGGGCATATACTGTAGCTTTTCACTACTCGCTTGACTGTTTTTCGTTTGACGCCGACACCTTTAACCTGCTATGCGACGGGCTAAATGAATTTCAAAAGAAATTTTTATGCTTTCCCAAGTCTAGTTGTGGTCATTGACAGCGTTTAACATATACGATATGTGTGTATGAGTAATGAGTGCGAAATGAAGTTATGTAGTTTTTCACAAGAACTCTGTAATGTATGTATTATCACGGTATATAATATTTTTATGGTTCGCATATATAAAGGTATATAATTGGCGCATTGTAACCGCTGAAGGGGACTCAGCCCTGATATTCGGCAAAGAGCAGGCAAAGTTTGTATTTTTTTGTGGGAGAATGAAAAGGTGTACGAACTTCCGGGTTTGACTGTTAGACTTGTTTATTATTTGAGGTTTTAAAACGGCAAAAAAATAATCGAAATTCAAAAGCACGAGTACAAAATGGCACTATCCGTCGGCCTCTGCGCGAAAAAACATGGCCCAACAGCTTCAAACCTACAGCCCCTTGTAATAAACTTAAATCAAATAGCGTTGACATTTCTTGAAAATCATGCAATTTTCTACGTCCTGAACCTCAATTGAAACAATTTGAATCATAAATTTATTGCATAATACTCATTGCAATTATAAAGTTAAATTTTTTGTTATTTTTTCACTTCAATTACGTTAAAAAAATATAAATAATTTATAATTAATGTTAACCTTAGCTTCAAGACGTTCATAAAACTATATACTTTGAAACAGTTTTCAGGCAAAAGAAATCGGATAGATTGATTAAGACCGCGGCTCGAAGTTAGATTGGAAATCGTGGTTTCTATCGGTGTACAACTTTGCTCCCGCCGTTATTTTCCAAAATTAAAAGCTCTATTGCGAAAAAGTGCTTACAGATATATTATTCAAAGTATTGTCCTTCGCTAGCGACAACTTTCTCCCATCTTTCCGGCAATTTTCGGATCCCGGCTCGAAAAAAGGAGTCCTCTTTTGACGCTATCCTTGAAGCAATTCATTTTTCCAATTTTTCGAAGGATTGAAAATGTTGATCTGCCAGGCCGTGTGCGATCGAACGGAATAGGTGAAAGTCAGAAGGGGCGACATCTGGGTAATACGGCGGGTGGGGCAAGACTTCCCCGTTTCCAGGTACTCTTTGACCACTTTTGCGACGTGAGGCCGAGCATTGTCGTGTTGGAGGATGACTTTGTCATGTCGCTCTTGATATTGTGGCCGCTTTTCTTTCAGCGCGCGACTAAGGCGCACCATTTGCGTTCGGTAGTGATCTCCTGTGATGGTTTCTCCCGGTTTTAAGAGCTCGTAGTAAGTCACACCGAGCTGATCCCACCAAATACAAATCATAACCTTGTTTGCCTTCGACATTGAAATCACCATTTTCTTTCACTCAGAGCAGCATCACCGTAAGTTTCTGAGAGCATTCCATGCGCTTCGCAAATTGCGAGAATTAGGCACATAAACGGACATTTTCGAGCGTGAATAATACGAAAACAAGAACAACTGTCACTGAAACGGCGATGACAATTCGTTAGGCACTGTCCACACTCACTTTAAAGGCATTATCATCTATGTATTTCAACCAGCCTCAGCCGGTACAGCCTCCTATCGGGATACGGCGGAAGCAAAGTTGTACACCTGATAGAAAATCATGTTCAAAGTTTTTTGAAAGTTTGCCTTGTATACGTGAGGCAGAAGTATTCCAGAGGCTGCCATTTCAAAAATATCCGTCGTATTGCAAAATCCCTTTAAACGCATACTCTACAAATATTTATGTGGCTTTCATTTTTTGCGTAAAAAACCGTTTTTTTTATCCAAAATCAGGGATGAGTAACATGAAGCGATTTTGGGACGTGCTCCTCCTCCAATTTATGGTATGCATCTTGTTGTTGTTTTTCCAACAAATGAAGGTGCTTGAAGCTTTTATTTCCTATCAGAATTGCACTCGGAGTGCTTGAAATTCCCACCTGATTTCTGAGATATCCGCTAATTGGAAAGTAAGTACTCAATATGCTAATAAAGGAGAAAAGCTACCTATAACCGAAGCAAATCATACTTGGCTTCTACCCTATGGTTCATTTTCGGAAAATAAAAGCAATCCATATTTCCATCCAGAGAAGAAATACCCTCTAAGAAAAATTTAACCAAAACGAACCTTACTTTTAACTAGAACAGTATCAGTAATGTAGATACTTCCTGAAAATAATAATATTTTAAGTAAATAGAAGTAAAATATTTTTTTTTTTTCAAATGGGACGGGCCTTTAACATCAGCTCGCCCCTCGTATGCTGATCAGTTATCAATCCATAGTGTTGGGAAATAAACTATATATAATATGTATGTAAAACGCTTTACCCTGAATGACTGACGGGTCAACAAATAGTCTAAACCGCTGCTCGTAGAAACCTGAAACTTGTAGGATGTGTTCTGCGTAAGACGTATGCACGCTATAAGAAAGCATTTTCCGGCAAGTGAGCCTCAGACAGATCTATTCCAAAAAAATCGTATTTATTTTAAAATCATTTCATTTAAATGAAATTTGGTACACAGATAACCCTTTGACTAAATTGAATGGGAATACTACGAATATTTCTACCGGGAAGTGTATCCAGAATCAACTTGGCCTCATTAGTACAGTTTGCAGCATCACCGTCGTCAATTTAAAAAATACACGTCTTTGGTATGATCCTATTTTCATTGCATATTTACGAAGTATTTAGGATAGTAACGACCATCTGGATCTATCCATCATCAGCCAGGGTATGCTAATAGATGCTGCATACTCCGACTTCGAGAATATGTACAAAAGAGTATTTCATTCGTTGTGTCTGATACCAAACAACAAAAAGATTCCCTAAAAATCTCCGTGAAAATAAATAATTACAAGGCAATCAACGCCGTGGCAGAGATCGAAGACACGTACCATTATCCAGAGAAATGTCTACTTAGCCTGCCTGTGATACCACACGAACCAGGAATCGAAATTTCAAACATATTTCTTAAAAAATTAAGTGAGCTGCGTTTGAAAAAAGAAAGTTGACTTAAGAATAAGAAGATTTATTTGCAAGTTATCATAAATGACAAGAGTCTCCATCAAAGTATAGTTAATTTGATTAAAAAGTAGTCAAGAGCAGCAAGATTTACTTTCAAACAATTAGTTTTACGTAAATATGTGTAACCCTGATAGGCTAACCACTAACAACAAAGAGAGTTTCTTACAGAGTAATTAAATAAATTTAATATACGGACAGAACCAAAGCTCACATTATTCAATCAACGAAAATCATTTCGACTAGAGTCGACAAAGAAGCTAAGTAATGCATCGTCATTTCCTGACCTACTTGGAAGCTCGCCTGGGAATTCATATATGTCGACCCATATCGGGCTTCCACCGTTAATATTACGCTACTAACGCGTGATTTGGTAAATTTTAATATAATAATTAAATACTTTCCTGTAATATTTTCAGGTGTACAACTTTGTTTCCGCCGTCTTCCGATAGGTGGCTGTACCGGCTGAGGCTGCTTGAAATACATAGATAATAATGCCTTTAAAGTGAGTGTGGACAGTGCCTAACGAATTGTCATCGCCGTTTCAGTGATAGTTGTTCTTGTTTTCGCATTATACACGCTCGAAAATGTCCGTTTATGTGCCTAATTTTCGAAATTTGCGGGAAGTTTTACTCTTCTGTTACAATTCGAAAAAAAATGCAGCTGAAGCGCATCGAATGCTCTCAGAAACTTACGGTAAGGCTGCTCTGAGTGAAAGAACGTGTCGGGAGTGGTTTCAACATTTTAAAAATGGTGATTTCGATGTCGAAGACGGTGTGATTTACCAGGAGCTCTTAAAATCGGGTGAAACCATCACAGGAGATCGCTACCGAACGCAACTGATGCGTCTTAGTCGCGCGCTAAAAGAAAAGCGGCCACAATATCAAGAGCGACATGACAAAGTCATCCTTCAACACGACAATGCTCGGCCTCACGTCGCAAAAGTGGTCAAAAAGTACCTGGAAACGCTGAAATGGGAAATCTTGCCCCACCCGCCGTATTCCCCAGATGTCGCCCCTTCTGACTTCCACCTATTCCGTTCGATGGCACACGGCCTGGCAGATCAACATTTTCAATCCTTCGAAGAATTGGAAAAATGGATTGCTTCATGGATAACGTAAAAAGAGCCGGGATCCGAAAATTGCCGGAAGGATAGGAGAAAGTTGTCGCTGGCGAAGGACAATACTTTGAATAATATATCTGTAAGCACTTTTTCGCAATAAAGCTTTTAATTTTGGAAAAAAAACGGCGGAAGCAAAGTTGTACACCTGATATATAGAAAAACAACATGACCGTTATTTATTTAAGCATTTGATTAGCCGATTTTACTCTCTGACAACGCAAGAACATTTTTATTCCCTCTGGCTACCTTAGAAGATAAAAATTTACTTTAATTTTCAAATAACTCATGATCTCACTGGCTGAATGG